ATATATATATATATATATATATATATATATATATATATTTACATTTATTTATTTTTTATTTTATTTCTATTTATTTCTTTTTTAATGCTTTTTTAAATGCTTATTTTGTAGCATTTTGATACCTTTTTGGTGAAAAGTGCAGTATAAATGAAATTAATTATTATTATATTATTATAAAAGTATCGATACTCAAAAAAAGTATTGATACTGAAACGTTGTATCCGGATACAAAACCCGTTTTTAAGAGTATCAATACAGCTATCTAAATTGCAGAATAGAGGAAAATGCACTTTCTGAACACTGTGTGATTGAATAATTCTGTGCATTTTTCAGTTTCAGACTTTTTTGTAACAGGTGCAGCTGATGAGAATGATTTTTGTTTAACTGGTTTGGCTAGTGTCATTGTTATGTGTGCAAAGCATAGCCAAGGAAGGAACACTTCATTTTAATTTAGTAAGTTTTTTATCAAGCTTGCTTAATATTGTGCACAGCATACAACCTCAAAATATTATTCTTATTGTTTTTTTATTTATTTCTTGTATGTTTTTAGTAATGAAAATATTTCTGTTGAATTTTAGAGTCTTTGTTTATGTTCTTGTGGTATCGAATATTTTACTTAGTATCGGTATCGAGTTGAAAAGTTTAGTATCGTGACAACCCTATAAGACACATGTTGACATAGTGACACATGTTCTGTGATACATGGTTTAATGATGTCACTGAGGTGTATGCATCAATGGGAAATGTTCTTCTGGGTTTGATTTATAAAACTGTAAATTAATTAGAATGCAAAAAAGCTTTTTCCTAACAGCCGTCATTAACTATAAACTGCTGCTGAAGGTTAATATAACACTGGTATCATCATGGTGATAACGATAGTCATGATATTCAGGCAAAAGCTAAAAAGGTTTTTTATTCCAGCAATCTAATCTGAGATTAAACTGGATGGGAATGAAAATAATTTTTTTCTAAATCTTGACAATCAGAATAAACTAGATTCTTGAAATGTAAAGAAGTGTGAATGTGAGAAGAAACCCCACTTCTAAAGCCGACAAGAACATGAACCCTCTGCTTTAAACCTGTTATCTGCTAATCTAGATTAAATCATGTTAAAGAAGTGTTAAAAAGTTAAATATGTTAAATAGTAATTGTCTGGGAAAGAGAACTGGGAACAAGCCTTTAGGATTGAACCCTTATAGGGGGCTGTAGCCTTAAATTAAACATTAGAAACATGTGTCACATTCTTCTTTACAGTAAAGTTCAGTTATGCTGAGCAGAAAGACTGAACACTGAGGCACCAATGAGGAACGGCTTCCCTACAGAATAATGGTGCCACCACCATGCTTAACTGTGGGATGGTGTTTTAAAGGTGCAGGGGGAGTTTTTAAAAGCATTAATGCTGCATGGAGCCCCCTATATGGCGTGACTTTTATTCCATTATTGTGGAAAATAAGGTAATTTTCCACAATAAACATTTGAAAAACTTCTTAATAAAAAAAAGAGGTTTTAAAAGTAACTTCTTATATTTCAGTTTTCCATTCTTCTTTTTACAGACTTTTTTGTTTTTTTGTTTTCCTTTTTTCAAATTGTTATTTAGATTTAGTTTTTTAAAGATCGCACTGTCTTCATTTTAGGGCCAATAACAAACCCTTGCTGATGACTAATAAAAATGGTGCTAACACTCATGCAGACCAACAGAAATGCCTCCCCAGAAGCAAAGAAAATAAGATCTTTAGAAGGTAATCTGAAAAGAACACACTTAGTAAAACTCAATCTGCAAAAGAAAAATTTTCAATACTTCATCTAGGAACCTGTCTGTGTTCCTCAGGTTCATTGAAACGTTTGAATTAAAAAAACTTCTTCATGAATCTTTCAGTGAAACTTTTAAACATTAGGTATCTAAACATATGCATCAGAATCAGAAATCAGAAATACTTTAATAATCCCAGAGGGAAATTGCTTTTGTTACACGCTCCAGTTACAGTTTTATATGATATATACACAAATCCAACTATACAATATTAGTTAGGAAAGAAAAAAGAAAACCTGTGTTTAACATATTTAACACATATCTGTGCAGCTCTTGTTGTCTTTATTCAATATTCAAGATGGATGAAAACATCTGATTCTGTTTTATCTACCATGTTCTGAAACAAACATCCTAAATTTTAGAAGGATTTGAGCATCCAGAAAGGCGTAAGGTGTAGTGAATCCAATCTGCCACTAGGTGTCAGTAAAGCCCCAGCTGTGTGTCTGTGTCCAACCTGTGTGGGCATCAGTGGCTGTTATGGGACTGTCTCTCAGTGGGTCATGGTCCTGGTAGTCCTGCGGGAGCCCCACCCGCCGCACGCCGGGGTCCAGCACCACCGAAGAGCCGCCCTCGCTCAGCGTCCCGTCACTGGACGCCCCGGACACCACGGCCTCCAGGGCCAGAGCTCCTACTCCGCCCATCCCAACGCCGCCTACGCCGCCCAGGGCCAGGTCGTAGTCCAGGGGGAGGTCGTCCAGGCAGTCTGCGTTCAGCTTTAAGGAGGAAGGGGAATATGTTAACGCATTAAAGGTCATAAAACTATGAACACAATAAGATCGGTGAAGGGAAATAGTTGGACTCACAGCGATGCCAAGAGCCTTCAGGATGTTCATCTTACACATGGGACAGGTGCGATGGTCCAACAGCCACGGATCCACGCAGCTCTTATGGAACAAATGTCTAAAAACAAAAGGAAACCAGTGTTGATCTGTGCCGTCAGGAGAGAGGAAGCAGTCTGAGGGGACTATTATCCAGCTACATCAGAGAACACGCTTCCTGACCTACAAGTCAGAAAAACAATTTCATGCAAGGATGAACAAAAGTTGGAGACTTTTCTCTCTACCAAGAGAAAACAAGACTAAATAATGGAAAAATCTGGGAGAATAAAATATTCTTCATGGACATAACAGCTGCCTTATTCCACCTGGACAGCATACTGGCCTTGGTTCCTGGGTGGAGACGGATTATGGATCAAATCTGGATTGGGAACGCCACAGGATTCCCTCACAGGAGATGGATAATGTTGTAAAGGCGCTTTATGAAAAGTTTAAAGCTCCTGTTGAGCCAAAAAGCTAACATCTGACTCCAGACGACTGATATTAAAGAACAAAAATAAACAAATCCTTTTTTTTTATATATTATTTTATAAATGATCAAGGAATCCTTCTCCTGACTGGTACCTTTGTTAAATGGGATTATTCTGGTTCTCTGAAACCTCTCTGAATTATGGCATTAGCTAAAACAAAAAAACAACAACAACGAAATGTGCAGAAAATCCAATAAGAAAAAGTTTATTTCTATCAAACACAAAAAAAAAAAAAATCAAGCACTGAAAATAACTTAGTTTAAATAAGACTTTTGCTTCCATTTATTATAATTTTCTTACTTTTTTAGCCGAATTATCCACTTAATGGGAGGAAAAACATTTTTACAGAGAGACTTCCTGCCATTGCCACAATGTTTTGCACCAATCCCATATGACTCATTGAAATTAACACATGCCTGCACCCATCAGAACATGAATGCTGGTCAAAACTGAAAGAAAAACAACCTTAACTACCTTAAAGATGACGAATCCTACTGTCTTTTAGCTCAGGACGCTTATAGGTGTTTTTTAAGAGCCTCCAGCTGGTTAAAACAACAATTTCATTTCTGACTAACTGCAGTGAACAAAGTTACACACTGCGGGGCCTCAAATGCAGCTCATTCTAAGGAGTGTTGGCCCTTTAGTTAGACAGCAGGGTGTCCTGGTCTCTACCCCTGACATTTAAAGTTGTAGGGAAGCGGCTGTTCCAACCGTTGCAGTTCCGAATTCTCCTGAGAGGTGCCTGACTTTACATGAGTGAATAAAGTGAATGTGATTGGTTGTTTATCAAGG